AATGATGAGTCTTCCTCCTCTACCCAGTACGAAATGTGCACCTTTTGTGTTACGGGAGGAACAACACAATGTTCAGAAGGATCGCATAAGACAATAATTGATATATTTTTTTGATTTATCACACTATATAATATATTTATTAAAAAATTATTATTTTTTAATTTAAATAAAAAGTAAGAAAGTTTTCAATTATAGAATTTAACGACTGAATTTAATAACTGAACAAGTGAGTACTAGTAAATATGTTGAATCAAAATGTATATCAATGATTTTCTGTTTAAAAAACAGTGAGGATGGAATTCCATGACTGGGCCCACCACATTTAAAGGAAAGAAGTAGAAAATTTAGGTATTGATTGGCGGTTGAGGCAAGAAATTAGGAGAAAATTGATTAGAAATGGAAAGGAATGCAAAGGAAGAGTTACATATGATAGAGATTACTTGGGGTTTTATTCATAGAAATACACATAGAGTTAATCGATTTATTCCTAAACGAACTAAGAGTACTAATTAATGTTGTTTGGATTTGATTAAACAAAAGTAATGAGTACTAATTTTCTTTATAGGCAAGTAAACTTATTTCTAAGCGTAAAAAAAACTTTTGAAAAGTAAAGTTCATTTTAATTATTTTCTATTTTATTTTTTTCGTGCAGTAAACCTTCTTTTACCAATTTGTTCCTACTATTAATAAAACAAGAAGATAAAATTGAAGTGCAGAAGCACCAAGGACGAAGGCAAGGCATGTCAAATAGGAGGGGGAACAGATACCAAGTTTTCTCTCTCAGTCGGGGGAACTTAAAATTATGCCCATGCATGTGAAACTCTTAATTCATGCTTAAACCGAGGCAAGCAAGACACTTAAAGTGAATCATATTTAGCTCATTGGCAGAGGATAATTGTTGATTCATTGATGATTTATCTATATAATGTGTTAATGGTTGGTATTTAGCATGAATTGAGAATGTTGAAATTTTTGAGATTTTGGATATAGAAAAATGAAATGTAATTTGTTTAACTTAAATTGCACTTTACTTAACTATTGATAGAGGAAGTGAATCCCTTAACATTGAAAGCCAACTTATTTATTAATAATTAATTATTTTGTAGTCTATTCTATATCTTGTTTTATATGTTAGGTTCAAAGAGAGAAGAATGCCTTTTTGTTATGCAAACCAAATGCTTAATTAATGACCAAGTGGATTTGTGTGACTAAAGATGCAGAGTTGGACAGAGCTTTTTGGCAATTATAATGATGTGGTACACATGTACCC